TCTGTTCTAAAATTTCTGATTGGTTCTTTCTAAAATCTGTGATGTCACTTTATATCACCTCCTGTTTCCTACCCAAATTTCCCAGCTTGGGTTCTATCTCCCTGAACAAAGGAAGCATTGTTGTTTTATTTTTGGTTTCTGATGATTCTTAGGACCATTATGGGTGTGTTTCTGTTGTCTGTTGTTTCTGTTGACACTTGCTCATGGTGTCTTGTCATTTAGTATACCTAGTTATCTCTAAGTACTTTTGCATATTGTATTTTTAAATATATTTGTTAAAATAATTTAAGACCTAGAATGATGTTATGTTCTCTCAAAAAAAGGTTTTCGTTAGCTTCTATCAAAGGCCTGAGGGTACTAACTGCCTGGGACAATTTAATCAAATTCAAAAGATTGGGGTTTTCTGGATCATTCTCATGACTCAAAGACTTGTGATAGTCTGAGCTGGTTTGGTTCCACCCCACACTTTCTCCCAGGGCATGGCACTTTTGAGTTTTACCTAAAAATGGAAATGGTTGACCAGGATCACTACCCTTGATGGGATTCAAAATCCTGCTTTAGTTCTCCTAGCTCTGAGAGGCTGTCAAAAGACAGCACAATTTCTCAGCTGCTTATTTGATATCAGCAAGTGTTCCTGAGCAAAAGGGGCCCTGAGAGTATGGCTCACATCTCTGGGATCCTATCTGGTCCCAGATTTCAGCCAGCACTTTTTGCTATCTTTTTAGCTCTTTGATAGTTTTTAGATATTTTTGTATGTTATGCAGCTAATTTAGGTGTCATCAGCTTTTAGCCATTACTGAATCCAGAAACTTAATAGTATGTTCCAGAGATCTCAAATCTTCTGAGTAGTACAGGCAGGATTGGAAAGATCTGTTTCAAATCCTAGATTCTTTCATCTACACTGCACTGGTCAATCCAGATGGTGATGTTATAGAGAGACAGACGATAGATAGATAGGCAGATAGATAGATAGATGATAGATAGATAGGTAGATAGATAGATAAAAGCTAACACTTACTAAGCCTCTTCTCTGTCAAGCACTCTGTTCTAAAACTTTAGATGATTAAACTCGTTCAATCTTTACAACAATCTTATGAGTAAGGCACTATCATTATTTCCATTTTACAGATGAGGAAATTGAGGCACACATAGATTAAGTAAACTTGCCCAAAGTCACACATCTAGCAAGAATTGAGCTGGAATTCAAACCTGAGTCCAACTCTAGAGCCTATGCTCCTAATTGCAAAGTTTTAAACAAAACTGTCCTGTTGCCAAGGGCCTGAGAATCATGGATCCTACCACAGAGATTCAGTCACAAATATCAGTTTTAGAACTAATGGTTCTCCATACTATTTTCACCTATGCCTGCCTGAGCCCGGATGAAACACAGTCTTCACTTCCAGGTATCGGGAAGGATTGCTTTGAAAACAAATCTTCAGCTCTATAAACTACAACCCTCCTCATCGCCTCTATCAGATGTTATTCTCCAAGGGAGACCAGAAGAGTTTACAGGCTAATCAGTGCTCCCGCCAGCCTCATAAATTGAAACAAGGGTGAGGCAGTGAAGGAGAAAATGTTTTATTGTTCCCCTTTTTCAAAGGCAGATTCCAAGCCAAAGCAGGTGAGTCACCCACAGAGATCAGAATCCAACACCCAGTCTGTTCCACCCTCTGAATTCCCTCTGCAGTAGGGGACTTTACTCCATAAAGAAAGTCACTTCTCTTCTAAGAAATATGCAGAGCAGACTCTGGGTTCGCAGGGAGAGGGCAGTGGGAGACAGACTCACACAAGATCCATGAGTCTCTCTGGGTTCGGGTGGTCCCGTATTTTGAATTTTTAGGACATTAATAACTACCCAAATTACTATTAATTGAGCATTCACCACTGTGCTAAAGCACGTTTAGGCATTTGTTTAAAATCCTCAGATGACCCTCTAATGAAGATTCCATTCTTATTCTCACTTTCATATTAGGAAACTGAGGCCCAGGGAAGGCCTTAAGGCAACCTGCCATGACCACCGAGTTAGGAGAAGCAGCCCTTTGGTTTGACAGTCTGAATCAATGATCTTCTGTTGCCTTTCCTTCTAGACGCATGTCTCTAGATACTGAGACACAGAGTGGGGACATAGGGCTTCCTTGGGGCCTGGGTTCATTCGGATCACGGCCGAGGAAGCTGAACCCCAGAGCAAAGGACACAAGGAAGAGGAGAGGGTTTCTCTAAAAAGAGCAGGGTAGGTGCAGACTGACGCGTTTGTCAACATGACAACCTGGACACGCCTGGAAACAGCTGCTCCACCACCCAGATGGCCTCTAATGGGGCAAGTGCCGCCAGGTCATGCTCTTCCAGTTATTCTCTTCTCACGTCTTCAGAGCCGTCCAAAGGCCATGTCCCATCACGAAGCTCCCGGGGATCCCCGCTCTCATCTTACCTTAGGATGAAGCTTCAAATATATTTTGGTACCAAGGCCCACCCATTGGGAAGGCCTCCGCCAAGAAAGGGAAAGGGAAGCCTCAGGTGCGTGAGCTGCGTGGCTTTGGAAGGATATCCCTGCCCCTAAATCCGTCTCTTATCTTGACATGTCACTCTAGCGGAAGCCCCACCACTGAGTTGTTGTCTTCTGGTGAAAAGTACAGAAACCTCTTCCAAAATGTAAATGTCCCCAGAGAGGGTCCTGAAGTTCTGCCCATCTTAATTTTTCCCCACACAAATATATCTCTTTCCAGACATTTGGAGCCTACTACCATCTGTCTGCTGAGAGTCTGACCCATAAAAGGCCCTCCGTAAATATAGTATCTGTTTGCTACTTGATGAATGCCCCAATATGACTAAACCAATAAACAAGTAGCAGCCTAAAATTAGAGAGAAAGAGGGAAGAAATCCATGCTTCATCCAATCTCTCTCTCTTTTTCTAAGTTTTTAAAATTTATTTTGAGGAAAAGAGAAAATGAGAGTGGGGGAGAGGCAAAGAGAGAGAGGGAGAGGAGAACCCCAAGCAGGCTCCGTGCTACCAGTACAGACCCTGACGCAGGGCTCGAATTCATGAACTGTGAGATCAGGACCTGACCCACTCTTTTTCTCCTGCATATGTAGAAGAATTTCTTGCCTTGCCAAGAGAAGCAATGTCTGATAGAAATATATTGTGAGCCACACATGTAATTCAAATTTTTCTAATAGCTGCATTTAAAAAGTTAAAAGAAACAGGTGAAGTTAATTTTGACAATATATTTAGTCCAATATATCTAAATTTCATTTCAACATGTAACCAACTTAAAAGTATTCAGACACATTACATTCCTTTGTGCATGCTAAGCCTTTGAAATCTGTTATGTGTTTTATACTACAGCACAGTTCAATTGGTACTAGTCACATATAAAGTGTTCAATAGTATGTGGTTAGTGATATATTGAACAGTGCAGGACTAGAACCCAGACTCGAGAAAATAATTCTCTGGGGCAGGGGCAGAGAGATAGAAGCAAACACAGAATCTGAAAGAGACTCCAGGCTCTGAGCTATCAGTACAGAGCCCAATGCAGGGCTCAAACTCATCACATTGAGATCATGACCTGAGCTGAAGCCAGATACTTAATCAACTGAGCCACCCATAGTCGGTTGAGCGTCCGACTTTCGCTTAGGTCATGATCTCGCGGTTCGTGGGTTCGAGCCCCGCGTCGGGCTCTGTGCTGACTGCCAGCTCGGAGTCAGTCTGTGACTCCCTCTCTCTCTGACCCTCCCCTGCTCACGCTGTCTCTCTCTCTCTCTCTCCTAGAAATAAATAAAAATATTTAAAAAAAAAAAACCAAAAAAAAAAAAAAAAACTGAGCCACCCAGGTGTCCCAAGAGTCAGGTGTTTAACTGACTGAGCCACCCAGGTGCCCTAGCTTTATAGTTTTTACCTTTCATAAGGGATTAGGTCCATTGGGGATTTTTTTTCATATTGTAGGCAACTGAGATTCAACTTCTATTTTATAGTTTCCTCAACACCATCTACTAAATAATCTGTCCTCTCAACTCATTTGTGAAACCATTTCTATCCCATATACTTAGTATCCCATATACTCAGTTGCTTCTGAGTTGTCTGTTCTGATAGTTAATCATCACCATAACCCTTGTTTTTTAAATATGATGATTAAATTGCAGAGAATTGGGGCAAGTGACCCAGCACCATTCAAACAATAAGTGTTAGAATTATGATTTGAACCCAGGCATTTCTGATTTTGTTCCATTAACATTCTATTTGGCTCCATGTAACAGAAACCAGACCATAGTGGCTGGAACAAACAGATTTATTTTTCTTGCAATAATTCTGGAGAAAGACCTCCCCAGGCCACATACAGTGGCTCCAGGATACGACGCAGGATCCAGGAACCTTCTATCTTTCTGACCAGCTGTACTAATGTGCGGTTTTTGTCTTCATGGTTGGAAGATAACTACCGCACCTCCTGGAATATATCCTCATTTCAAGAAGGAAGAAGGAGGAAGGGAAAGAACAAAGGCAAAAGTGCATCAGCTGAATCTGTGCCTTTCAACCAAGGAAACAATTGTTTTTCTACAGATACAACCATTAGACTTCCACTAACACCTCCTTGGCCAGAAGTAGGCCACATGTGCATGCCTAGTCTCAAGAGAATCTGGAAAATGGGGAGGGGGTGTTATTTATTTATTTATTTTTTAGCTGGGACAATTGCCATCTGTTTTAGTCTGCTGTTTTTTTTTTTTTTTTTTTTGGGGGGACTGCTATTACAAAATACCATAGCCTGGTGACTTAAAAACATCAGAAATTTATTCCTTCCAGTTCTGGAAGCTGGGAGGCCCAAGATCAAGGTTCTGGAAGATTCTTTATCTGGTGAGACACAACTTCCCAGCTCATAAGCAGCCTCACATGGCAGAGGGGAATGAAGCCTATTTCATAAGGGCACCAATCTCATTCACGGGGATGCCACCTCATGACCTAATCACCTCCTGAAGTCCCCACCTTCAAGTACCATCACTGTGGGGATTAACTTTCAGCATATGAGTTTCGAAAGGATACAAACTTCTAGTCCATACCACCACCCGAACAAAATTTGGTTTCTGTTGAAAATTAAGAAGTGGAGAATGGAGACTAAGCTGACATCAGAACAGGTTTACTGAAAAGCTAATAAAGCTTAAGGTTCAGAGTATCTCGTTTGTCCATCCCTCCTCCAATGCCCTATGTTTAATTTTATATACTTAGTTTCATATTCTTTGTCTTCGCGTGTTTGTATAAGGAATGCAAAAGTGAATCCCATTTAACTCTACTTAACATCCCATTTCCCAGGCTTGTTTGCAAAATTTGTCCCATGCAAGAGGTGTCCCATAGGACACACTTTGGGACCTGAGCTACAAGAGCTAAGGTTACTATTATATTAGTGTGGATAATAGTCAAAATGGGTCCCTCATCCCAAGGTAACTTTAAATCAGGACAGGTACTAACATTCAAGCTGGGATTCAGAGAAATACTGTGTAGATTTCCTTTTTAACACTGACCTTATTCTCTCTTTGGAAATGGATAGAGAACCCAGAAACTGTGTAAGGCAACCAGCTGGGGTTAGGCACACAACAGAGACTCAGACCCGGAAAAGGAAGGTACACATCCCCGTTTTACCACGTCTTAGCTAGATGACCTTGTGCACATTCCTTAACCTTTCTGAGCCTTAGTTTCAATGTCTAAAACCACACATGCTATACCACCCCCATAAAGAGTAAATGAGTTACCGTACCAGAAAGCCTTGTGTGATGCCTGACACGTAGGCAGCACTCATTATGTGTCTGTTAGATCTGAGCCAGCTGTTGAAGCAAAGAAACAGAAGTGTCCCACGTTGAGAAGGCTGCAAATAATGGAGAGGACAGACAGGCATGGAGTGTCGATGCGGAACAGAAAAGTAGGGGGCTGGGGATATTCCCATATGTATAACGCAAAGCAATGGGTATTAGAGAAGAAAGATGTTGGCAAATTTCAAGGCCAGAAAAAGCCGTGAGGCCTGATGTGCTAGTGGTCAATCTCAAGGTTGGGAGGAACAGTATGGGGCCCAGGACACAGGAAAAAGCCACAAAAGACCCATTTATAGATCAGGTTTCTCTCTGTACAGCAAATTAGACAATACCTCCCTTATTCACCATCAAAGCATAGTGTGAGGATAACATGGGATTTTGTGTGTGACCAAGCTTTATTGAATCCTATAAAGTATTCAGTGGAATACACCCATAGAGATAAAATTTGAAAGTAAAAGATGTATAAAGAGCATTATGGGGATCAAAGTCGGTGTTTCGGTAATGGGTGTAATGAGTGTGCATTAAACTCCCTAACGATCTGGCCTAAGAAAATGTTCGTTCTGTAAATCAGTTAATGAGCCCCCACCCTCCTAGCTGCCAGAAAATTCCATCGCAGTAAGATTTTGCAAAACCTTCCTCTCCCAAAAACTGTACGGAAGTCCTCGGGAACTTGCTCAATCTGGAACATGCCAGGAGAGACCCTCTAAGTCTCAGCCCACACTGGGCTTGCTGGTCCACCGTCCCGGCCTGCCTTGAAGGTGGCATCTCTGTTGCCTTGGAGCCAAGCTTATACACAGGATGTCTTTGCTGCAGCTGTGGTGCAGGGCCGGCGGCGGGGGCGCGGGGGGGGGGGGTGTTCTCTGTGCCTAGAGTCAGAACTCCCTCTGCTCAGCCCACAGCCATGCCCATCAGAGGTCCTGCCGGCTGAGTTATTCCAGAACCCAGTAAATCTTTCTGTCCTACCTTTCCTATCTGGGGTTGGGGGTGAGAAGGGGGAAGCTCTCTCCAATCCCTCCTCTGTTCCCTCCCTGCTAGGGATTGCTTCTGCCAGACCTTGGAGCCCCATCTTCTCTCAGATAGTCCCAGTCTGGTCACCCAGGGGAGCTCAAGTCATAGGCGTGGAGGAGGGGCTCTGACTTAAGGGGGCCTGGAAACTTCTGCTTCAGGCTATCTTCTTGGGATGAAAGAGGGGAAACTACCCACCATTATGAGAACAAAAATACACATTAATATCTCAGCAAATGATCACATGAACACAAGTAATATTTTCTTCACACTCCTTAAACAAAATCTGATTTAAGGTAAGTTCCCTGTTATTTGTTAATAAGAGATCTGTTTGTTTTGTGAGCAACATTGCCCTCAGGCAGAAAACTTACACTGCCACCCACACTCTCTGAGCTCGGTCCCAACACCAGCTGGACTAAGCACCCCCCTGGTTGCTGGGTCAGTTTTATTTGGAGGCAGACAAATTTGTTGACGATAAATGAGTAATGCTGACTCTGTGGGGTGAAAAGGTCCCCCTAGAAGGTGACCTCCTCTTTTCGGGGCACAGCTGTTTAGTTTAGAGCACAAGGTCACTGTCAAGGAACAGCCCAACAACCCTGGCGATTTTTCCTGTGACATGTGGCCAAGGCTACAAACCAGGACTTTACTCTGAGGTGAAAATAAATCTTCTGGAGGCCTCTATGCAGAGGAGGATGGCTCCATTGGTGGCCAGTGACTTTATGTTTTTGTTTGTTTGTTTGTTTGTTTTTTGAAAAAGAGAAGGAAAATCACAGTCGACAGAAGAAAGAAGGTAGGTGGAGCTCATTCCCAAGGAAAATGCTGATGCTCCGGGATTGTCAGAGCTGGCCATGAACTTGCCACCCAGTGTGGCCCAGAGGAAAACACAGATGCATAGAGCAGGTCTGGAGGAGAAGACCAGGCTGACAGAGGACGGGGATTGGGGCCAAGGGCGGCGGGAAGGAGGTGGTAAATGTGGTCAGGGAGAAGTTAGACTCCACCTGGAGTACATTCAAGTTCAGGATGAGTATATACAATTCTAAGTTCTGGATTTGAGATTTGCCTTTTTCACTTAGAGATATTTGGCCATTGAGCAGCTATTATATGCCAAGGAATATGCCAGGCGCTGAGGGTACAAAAATGAATAAAAAGAGCCATTGTTCTAAAATTTAAGGTCCTGGGGTGCCTGGGTGGCTCAGTCAGTTGAGTGTCCGACTTCGGCTCAGGTCATGATCTCACAGATCATGGGTTCAAGCCTCACATTGGGCTCTGTGCTGACAACTCAGAGCCTGGAGCCTGCTTCAGATTCTGTGTCTCCCTCTCTCTCTGTCTTCTCCCCCATTTACACTCTGTCTCTCTCTCTCTCTCTCTCTCTCTCTCTCAAAAATAAATAAACATTTAAAAAAATGTTTTTAATTTAAGATCCTAACTTAACTTACCTCAGTGTCCATTGACTTGTTTCTATAATGGGTATGATAATTTCTACTTTGTGGGGTTGTCAGGAATATTAAATGAAGGTATAGAAGTATTTTCTGTTAGCCATAGTACACTGTCCAAATGCTCTTTTTTTATATAGCTACTATGGAAACAGTATGAAGATTCCACCAAAAATTAAAAATTAATTAGAATTACCATATGATCCAGTAATTCCACTACTTAGTATTTTCCCAAAGAAAACAAAAACACTAATTTGAAAAGATATATGCACTCTTATGTTTATTGCAACATTATTTACATTTGCAGACATGGAAGCAACCTAAGTGTTCATTCATCAACAAATGAACGGATAAAGAAGATGTGGTGTGTGTGTGTTTTGTAATATATATATATATATATATAATATTGCTCAATCACAAAAAGAACAAAATTTTGCAATTTGCAGCAATATGGATACACTTAGAGGGTATAACGTTAAATGAAATAAGTCATAGAAAGAAAAATGCCATATAATTTTACTCATATGTGGAATTTAAGAAACCAAACAAATGAACAAAGGAAAAAAAGAGCAAACAAAAAGTCAAAATCTTAACTATAGAGAACAAATTTTGGTGATTGCCAGAAGCGAGGTGGATAGAGGGATGGGGGGAATGGATAAAGGAAATTAAGAATACACTCACCATGATGAGCACTGAGAAATGTATAGAATTGCTGAATCATTATATTGTACACCTGAAACAATGTAATACTGTATGTTAATTATGAGTAAAAAATTATATATTGATTGCATGCCTTGTTCAAAGGAGGGTTTGAAATAGTCACTTGCCAACAGTGACCTTTTCTTCTTTTTCTAACTTAATAAATGTTTGAAATAACAAAAAATGTACCAAAACGTTGGAAAGATGCTACAAAGAACAATACAAAGATGATTGTTCAACAATTGGCTCTTCAGTGCAAAAAAGTCCTGAGTTGTAACATTTGCTAATTTCCATGGTGTAAATACTCCCACCACCGCCAATTTGTTACTGAATGCATAGTTGGGTAGATATAAACTTAACAGACTCCAGCATACCACTGACACAAAGAACTTTTTTTCCTCCCCAAATCTGAGAATAAATTGCCAATCTGATGCATCAACCATCAACACAATAGTATGTATTTCCCACAAACACAGACCTTCTCTCTTTCCAACCACATTAATTAAAACTATAAACACCAGGAAATAAACGCCATCTGATCCAGAGACCCCATGTAAGTTTCACTGATTGTCCCAACAAAGTTCTTAGTGCAAAAAGATCCAGTTCAGAATCACACGCTGCATTTACTTGTTGAGTCTCTTTAGCCTCTTTAGTCTTTGGTTTTTCCTGGACTTGCCTGATCTTGACATTTTTTTTAAGACTGCAGGCCAATGATCTTACAGAACATCCCTGGATGTGGGCTGTACTGATATGTCTTCGCGATTCTATTTAGGTTTCGCAACATCCGCTAGAACGCGAGAGGAGTAGTGACGAGCCCTCCTGGCGTCCTATTGCGTGGAACACTGCCTATTTAGATCTTTGCCATTGCAGATGATCATTTTTATCTCTTGATTAAGGTGGCATCTGGCCAGCACCATGACGTTATTCTCTTTCCTTTGGTAATTAGGAAGTATTCTGTGGGGAGGTACTTTGAAACTATAAATAGCCCTTTCCTTATGAGGAATATTTTCCTCGTGATATTTGCAATTCACTCCTTTATTGATTTATGTCTATATGGGCTCATGGTTTCCTATTCCACTTCATCCATTTTAATCCATTATAATCATTAATTCTTTTGTCGCTAAGTTGTCCCTGGTTTGGACATTCGGACAGTGCAGTGAGACATTGTTCTTTGAGCACTTCCCTTTTTTTTTTTTTTTTTTTTGGCACCATACGATGTTCCAAGCTCGCTCTGTACTGTCTGCACCCCAGCCTTGGAATCAGCCATTTCTCCAAGGCGTTCTGTTTCCCTGGACTCCTTAACAGAGTCTTCAGTGGAGAACAGTATTTAGAAACCAAGATCTGGGTTGGCTAATGATGCTCAGAGGGTTACTATGAGGGTGTCACTGTTCCCAGGCCCGTTCAACAGAGATAAGGATACACACACACATACACACAAACATGAACATCTATATTTATTTCTGTATCTATTCATCTTTTTTAATGGAAAGCCATGAGTTCACATCAACCTCGAATTCTGAATCCAAACCTCAGAGTTTATTCTAGTTTTCTCCCTTTCTGTGTGTATTATCTTCCTTCCCCAACAGTGAAAACTTAGGTCTTGCTTTTTTTTTTTTTTTTACTGAGATATAACTCACACACCAAAAAGTTCACCAGTTTAAAGCACACAATTTATTGGTTTTTTTTTTGGGATGTTCGCAAGGTTGTGCAAACATCACCATTATCTAATTCCAGAATATTGTGATCACTCCCCAAAAAAGAAACTCCAGACCTGTTAGGAATCACTCTCCAAATTCCTCCTCCTTCTATCCCCTGTCACTGCTAGTCTAGTTTCTGACTCTACACATTTTTTTGCTTGGGACATTATATATGGACTCAAGCAATATGTGACCTTTACTCTCTGACTTCTTTAACTTAGCACGGTGTTTTCAAGGTTCACCCAGGTTGCAGCACATGTCATGACTTGATTCATTTTTATAGCTGAATAGTATGCCATTTAAGGATAAACTCTGTTTTGTCTATCAGTTAATGGACATCTGAGTTATTTTCACTTTTTAGGCTATTATGAATAATACTGCTATGAACATTCATTTAAGTGTTTTATTTAAGTTTATTTATTTATTTGTGTGAGAAAGGAGAGGCAGAGAGAGAGGGAGACAGCAGGGGAGAGGCAGAGAGAGAGGGAGAGAGGGAGAATCCCAAGTAGGCTCCACGTGGTCAGCACAGAGCCTGATGTGGCATTGATCTCACAAACCGTGAGATCATGATGGGAGCTGAAACCAAGAGTCAGACTCTTATCCAACTGAGGCACCGAGGAGTCCCTCATTTACAAGTTTTTATGTGAACATGTTATTGACTCTCTTGAATATATACCCACGAGTGCAATTGCTGAGTCACGTGGTAATTCTGTTACATTTTTTGAGAAACTGCCAAAATGTCTTCCAAAGAATCTATATGATCTACTTTCCCATCAGCAATTATGAGAGCTTCAATTTCCCCACATGCCCCCCGACATCAATTGCATGTTTTATTACAAGTCATCCTAGTGGGCGTGAAGTGGTGTCTCATTGGATTTTGGTTCGCATTTTGCTAATAACTAATGGTACTGAGCAGCTTTTCATATGTTTATCGGTCATTATTTATGTTTCTTCTTTGGAGACATGTCTACTCCTTTGCCCATTTTTTAATTGGGCTGTCTTTTTCACATTAAGTCATAGGAGTTTGTTATGTGTTTTCAATACTAAACCCTTATCAGACATAGAATTTTCAAATATTTTCATTCATTCTATGGATTTTCTTTTCACGTTTCCGAGAGTGTCTTTGAAGTGCCAAAGTTTCCAATTTTGATCAAGTTATCTGTTTTTTCCCTTTGGTTGGATCATCGCTTAATCTAAAGTCATGAGGATTCCCAGCTATGTGCTCTTTTGCGTGTTAATAGTTTTAGCTATTACAGTTTGGTTTGATAAATTTTGAGTCAGTTTCACACAGGATGTCTAACTTCACTCTTTTGTATTTGGATATCCAGTTGCACCAGATCATTTGTTGAAAAAACAAATTTTCCCATTGAGTTGTTTTAGCATCCTCATTGAAAATCAATTGACCATAAATGTATATTTCTTCTAGACTTACAATTTAACTGAACCCTACCTCTGTCTTTCTGCTAGTACCACATCATCCTAATTACTGTAGCTTTGTGTAAGTTTTAAAATCAGGAAATGATCCCTTGAACTTCCTTCTTCTTTTTAAACATTGATTTGGCTATTCTGTGTCCATTGCATTTCCATGTGAATCTCAAATTCAGCTTGTAAGTTTCTCTATGAAAAGAAAAACCTACCTAGGTTTTTAATAGGGTTTTTAAATGTTTATTTATTTATTTTTGAGAAAGAGAGAAAGAGAGAATGAGTGGGGGAGGAGCAGAAAGAAAAGGAGAGAGAGAATCCCAAGTAGGCTCTGTACTGCCAGCCCAGAGCCTGATGCATTGCTCGAACCCACAAATCGCAAGTTCATAACCCCAACTGAAATAAAAAGTCAGACAAACAACTGGTCCACCCCGGTGCCTCTCAATAGGTTTTGTTTATTGATGCCCTTTATCAAATTGAGAAAGTTCCGTTCCATTCCTAGTTTCCTGAGTGTTTTCATAATGAAAGTTGGTTGAACTTTGTCAAATGCTTTTTCTACAACTATTGGGATGATCATATGGTTTTTCTTCTTTATTTTATTAAAATTGTATATTACATTAATTGGTTTTTTATATTGAACCAATCTTGCATTTCTGGAATGAATCCCAGCTGATTATGGTGTGTGATTCTTTTTACATTCTGTTGGATTTGGTTTGCTAGTTTTTTTGTTGAGGATTTTTGCATCTATACCCATAAGGAATGTTGGTGTGTATTTTATTACTTTTTTTCCTTGTGATGTCTCTATCTAGTTTTTGGTATTAGGAAAGCATATGTCCTCAGAGAATGAGTTTGGAAGTATCCCCCCTCACCCTGACTTCTATTTTTGGAAGAGTTGATTTTAATTCCTGTTTGTTTGTTTGTTTGTTTGTTTTTGAGAAGGGAGAGGAGCAGAGGGAGAGAATCTTAAGTGGATTACACACCCAGCATGGAGCCTGATGCAGGGCTCAGTCTCACGACCATGAGATTATGACTTGAGCCAAATCAAGAGTCAGACACTTAACTGACTGAGCCATTGAGGCACCCCATGTTTTAATTATTCTTTAAACATTTAATAGAACTCATCTGTGAAGCCATCTGGTCCTATATGTTTCTTTGCGAGAATTTTTTAAATTATTACTTCAATCTCCATTCTTGTTATGAGTCTATTCCAGTTTTCTATTTCTTCTTGAGTCAGTTTTAGTATCGTGTGTCTTTCTAGGAATTTATCCATTTCATCTAGGTTATCTGATTTTTTGACAGTATACAATTGTTCATAGTATGTCCTTATAATCCATCTTATTTATGTACTGTCTGTAGCAGTCCCCTTTTTATTCATTAACTTTGTGATTTAAATCTTCTCTCTTGTTTTCTTGGTTAGTCTAGCTAAAGTTCTGTCAATTCATTGACCTTTCCAAAGAAATATCTTTTTGTTTTATTGATTTTTTCAATTATTTTTCTATCTTCTATTTCATTTTATCTTCACTATTTTCTTCCTTCTGTTTTCTCTGAGTTTGGTTTCTTCTTCCCCTCCTTCTCCTTCCCCCCACACCACCCTCCGCCTTCTTTTCCTTCTTCTTCTGTTGTTGTTTGTTTTTGAAGTAGAAGGGCAGATAATTCATTTGCACTATTTTTTCTTTATTAATACAGATGTTTACAGCTACAAATTTCCCTCCAAGCACTGCTTTAGCTGCCTACCATCACTTTTGGTACAGTGTGGTTTTGTTTTCATTTGAGCCAAAGTATTTTCTAATTTCTCCTGTGATTTCTTTTTTGACCAATTAATTATTTAAGAATATGCTGTTTAATTAACACATATTTGGGAATTTCCCGAGTTTCCTTCTATTACTTATTTCTAATTTTATCCCATTGTGGTCAGAGGATATACCTTATATGACTTCAATCCTTTTAAATGTTTTGAGATTTGTTTGATGGCCTAATATATGGTCTCTTCTGAGAACTGTTCCATGTGCACTTGAGAAGAATTTGTAAGAAAAATAATAGATGTTTTTATGCTTTGGAGAAAGATCTTGAAGGAAGCAAGAAAAGTGATGCTGTACTAAAGAGAGAAGAGAATGCCTGTGCCCTGTCTTTGGCAAGACCCAAGGTGACAGGATTGAGTTCACAAGTAGACTGGCTGGCTTTAGCCAGAAGCACAGAAATTTACCTCTGGGAGCAGAATGGAAGGCAGAGAATGTGGGGGCACATCCTAGGGGGTGGGCAGTTGAGGAGGGGCAGACTAGAGAAGTTCTCTTCTGATTGTTTCAATATCTCAGTAACTGGGTACCACAGTCAACAGTTGAGATTAAAGATAGGGAGGAAGTGGGGGTTTAAGAAGAGAACAGAAGATGCAAACTAGCCATTCTGGAGAGAGGAGAATGAATGGACTAAGGACATGGCATATCCTTGCCTGGCGACATTAAAGCCCCATTGGAAGGTCATGGTCAGCATGGTTGTGTGTTTTCCTCCAGCC